AAATTTCACTTTCTCAGTGAAATTACAATGTTCTCCTACTCTTGACCTCCCTAAACCCTCTTACCCTGCTCTCTAACTTGTTCCAGAGCACCTTCTAAAACGCTATACTAGGACAAGCACAGTGGCTCATGCCTGTAATCCCAACACTTTGGGAGGCTGAGGAAGGATTGCTTGAACCCAGGAGCGTTTTTTGTTTGTTTGTTTTTTGAGATGAAGTTTTGCTCTGTCACCCAGGCTGGAGTACAGTGGCATGATCTCAGCTCACTGCAACTTCCACCTCCTGGGTTCAAGCAATTCTCCTGCCTCAGCCTCCAGAGTAGCTGGGACTACAAGTGCACACTACCACACCTGGCAAATTGTTGTGTTTTAGTAGAGATGCAGTTTCGCCATGTTGGTCAGGCTGGTCTCAAACCCCTGACCTCAAGTGATCTGCCTGCCTCAGCCTCCTGAGTAGCTGGGATTATAGGCATGCAATGCCATGCCTGGCTAATTTTGTATTTTTAGTAGAGACAGGGTTCCACCATATTGGTCAGGCTGGTCTCGAACTCCGACCTCAGGTGAGCCACCTGCCTCTGCCTCCCAAAGTATTGGATTACAGGCATGAGCCATTGCACCCAGCCATGTGCTTTGTTTATTGTCAGTCTCCACACTGAAGGCAGCCCTAGAAGGGCAGAAACCTTATCTATTCTGTTATATCCCTGCTATATCCCTTATGCTTGAAGCAGTGCTGGGCACATGGTGAGTGCGCAGTCCAAGTCTGAGAAATGAATGAAGGGGGAGCTAAAACATTCTTGAATGAGAATGATGAAAGCTGGTAAGTATGAAAGGAAAGAAAGGGTAGACCTTGACCCAGAGTGACTTGACTCAGGGATCAGAGGTCCTTTCCTTCCTTAATACCAACAGCAGAACTAGTGCTTAAGAGCACAAACTCTGGACAAATTCAGGTTCTGATCCTAGCTCAGCTTCACCTTTCTTTTTTCTTCTTCTATTTATTTTTGCTTTTTTTGAGACAGGATCTCACTCTGTCATACAGGCTGGAGTACAGTGACATAATCATGGCTCACTGCAGCCTTTATCTACCAGACTCAAATGATCCTACTTCAGCCTCCTGAGTAGCTGAGAACAGAAGTGCGCACCATCATGCCTGGCTAATTTTTGCTGTTATTGTTGTTTTTTGAGATTAAGTCTCACTCTGTTACCCAGGCTGGAGTGCAATGGCACGATCTCAGCTCACTGCAACATCTGCCTCCCAGCGATTCTCCTGCCTCAGCCTCCCAAGCAGCTGGGACTACAGGCCCACGCCACCATGCTCAGCTAATTTTTTTTTTTTTTTTTTTTTTTGTTTGAGACGGAGTCTCTCTCTGTCACCCAGGCTGGAGTGCAGTGTCATGATCTTGGCTCACTGCAACCTCTGCCTCCCTGGTTCAAGTGATTCTCCTGCCTCAGCCTCCCGAGTAACTGGGATTACAGGCATGTGCTACCATGCCTGGCTAATTTTTGTATTTTAGAAGAGATGGGGTTTCTCCATGTTAGCCAGGCTGGTCTCAAACTCCTGACCTCAGGTGATCCGCCTGCCTTGGCCTCCCAAAATACTGGGATTACAGGCATGAGCGAACTCACCCAGCCAATTTTTGTATTTTTTATAGAGACAGGATCTTACCATGTTGCCCAGGCTGGTCTCAAACTCCTGGGCTCAAGCGATCCTCCCACCTTGGCCTACCAAAGTGCTAAGTTTATAGACGTGAGCTACGGTGCCTGGTTCAGGTCCATCTGATTCCAAAGCACATGCTCTGTCCCCACCCCAGCAGCCTCATTGCCCCAAACCTCACAGGCCAGAAGGGCTGCTGCTGGCCCTACTAGTGACTCCAGAGAGATATGGGGCAGGCTGAGGGACAGCAGGAGCGAGTGTTCTCAGATATCCAATGTGGAATTAAGGCATAAGTAACTAAGATAGTCCTTGAGGGACTTGATAAATATTAATCCAAGTGTCTTCACAGCAATCCTGCCGAAAACAAGCAGGGATCACCATCCCCACTTTACAAGAAAGGAAACTGAGGCTGACGGAGGTTCAGCAACTCCTCCAGGATTACTGAGTGAGAGGCAGCAGGCTGCCTCTGAGACCCATGCTCCTTTTATGGCCTCTGAGTGTTTTCCACATAAATGATTTTACCACCAATCCATTCTGTCCCTTTCCCAACCTTGTTGTCTTCATCTGGAAAATAAGGGGGTCATAAAAGATGATCTTCCCAGGGCCCTTTGAGTCTCAACATTACGTGGGTCTCACACAGAAATTGCTTGAAACGGCTGGGTGCGGTGGCTCACGCCTATAATCCCAGCACTTTGGGAGGCCGAGGCAGGTGGATCACAAGGACAAGAGATCGAGACCATCCTGGTCAACATGTTGAAACCCTGTCTCTACTAAAAATACAAAAAAAAATTAGCTGGGCATGGTGGCGCGCGCCTGTAGTCCCAGCTACTAGGGAGGCTGAGGCAGGAGAATTGCTTGAACCTAGGAGGCGGAGATTGTGGTGAGCCCAGATCGCACCATTGCACTCCAGCCTGGGTAAGAAGAGTGAAACTCTGTCTCAAAAAAAAAAAAAGAAAAAGAAAAAGAAATTGCTTGAAACATAGGCTAGGGGCAAGGAGCAACACCTGCTGCATGTTCATTAAGTGCTAGGCACTTCACAACCACAGCATCTTTGTTTTTTTAGACAGAGTCTTGCTGTCACCCACACTCCAGTGCAGTGGTGAGATCTCGGCTCACTGCAACCTCCACCTCCTGGGTTCAATCGATTCTCCTGCCTCAGCCTCCTGAGTAGCTGGGATTACAGGCGCTAGCCACCACACCCAGATGCTTTTTTCTGTTTTTAGTAGAAACAGGGTTTTACCATGTTGGCCAGGCTGGTCTTGAACTCCTGATGTGAGTTCGAGACCTCCCAAAGTGCTTACAGGTATGAGCCACCACACCCAGCCAACCACAGCATCTTTAATCCTCAACAACCCTAAGAGATGCATCCTGTCTGATTACTCCCATTTTACAGATGAGGAACCTAAGGCTTAAAGAGGCCTGAAGTCACCCCACCTAGAAAGTCTAAGTTAGATTTGCTAGTGCCAGGCAAACTCTAGGCTCTTCCCACGATGTCAGCTTGCTCCCTAATTACTGGGCAGTCTGGGTGGGAGGGGCCCATGCCACTCCTCTTTCCCAGCTGTCCAAAAGCCCCACTGCTCTGTGCTGTAACATCTCAGGCAGGCTCTAACAGAACTTTGCAGCTTCATTCCTGGGCTGCAGGGCAGGAGGGATGCTTGCTTCCTTTTCACAGGTTGGGGGTGGGAGGACAGGTGGCCTCACTTTTTTTTCCTTTGAGATGGAGTTCACTTTGTCGCCAGGCTGGAGTGCACTGGCTCTATCTCGGCTCACTGCAACCTACACCTCCCATGTTCAAGCGATTCTCTTGCCTCAGCCTCCCAAGCAGCTGGGACTACAGGTGCACGCCACTAGCACAGCTAAATTTTTTTGTTGTATTTTTAATATAGACGGGGGTTTCACCAAGCTGGCCAGGATGGTCTCCTGACTTCATGATCCACCCACCTAGGCCTCCCAAAGTGCTGGGATTACAGGCGTGAGCCACCGCACCTGACCTGGCCTCATTCCTTGACCATACACAGTCCTGAGCCCTCTGAGGGTGGAAAGCTGGGGAAACAGAGAAAAATGAGATCATGGTCTAGTGAGAGAGACAGACAAGCACCAAGTCATGTATCACTGTGCAGGGTGATACATGGAGAGATGGGGGAAGTACAGGGCTCTGGGGACCAAGGAGCGAGGGCAAGCAGCTGCCAAGGGCCAGTCAGGGAGGCCAAGCCCTAGCTCAGCCCAGAGCAGGGCCCAAACAAAAGCCCAGACTGAGAGCACATGGCCCAGCCAGCCTCCCCCTCCCAGGAGGCTACCAGTTGAGTACAAAGTGCAAGGCGCATTGGCAGACTGGGTCCCAGATCCAGTGCTGCCGCAGCACAGCAGGGAGGGTGACCTTGGACAACTCCCATTCCCTCTCGGGAGTCTGTTTCCCCACCTGTACAGTTTAAGGTGGGGGAGTAAAGGGTCTGTGCAGCCATGGCCCCTGGTGATCCCCCACTGCTCCCCTGTCATCATCTCTTTCCCTCAGAACTTCCTGAGGGAAGAGCAGACTCTACCAGAAGCCCCCGGTGGGTGTTAAATTACAGGCTACGCCTGGAAATGGGACACTCACCCCTCCTGTCCTCTGCCCTCTCCCACTCTCCAGGGCCCAGTACCTGCCCTTCTCATCATCTTTCATCAGGTCCCATCACAACCTGGTACCAACAAGAAGAAAGACCCTACCCATCCCTTTCTCACCTCCCCCATTCTTTGCTCAGACCCCTCCTTAGGCCTTGATCCTGGCCCCGCCTCTAACCCCCAGATTCCAAGCGAGGACTCTCAGCCCCTCCCCCACGGCCCAGACCCTGGCCCCCGTCCCTGCACCCTCGCCGCGTGCGTCTGTCCCTTCCTGGCCGGGGTCTCACCGCGCCGCAGCTGCAGCCGCAACGTCCCCAGCGCGGGGCCCCGGGCCCCCCAGCAGCCGCCGCGCCGCCACAGAGATGCTGCACAGCAGCGGAGCCATGTTTGAGCCGCGAAGGTTGCAGGAAGGCCCCACCCCCAAACCCGGGTGGCGGAGGCGGAACGCTAATAAACCCCGCCCCTCCGGCTCGCCCGCCCCCTCCACTCAACCGGTCAGGTGGGCGTGGCCCGTGGGCGTCTCCAAGTCCGCAGGTGCTGGAAGTCTGGGTTCTAATCCTCTGCGCGCTCTGCGACCTTGGCAAGCCCTTTGCCGACTTTGGGCCTCAGGATCCACCTCGGTAAAATGGAAGCGTGAACAGTAATACCAAGGGTACATTTTTTTGTGTGTGTGTGTCTTTTTGTTTTTTTCTTTTTTGTGGAGAACGGTGTCTCACTATATTGTCCAGGCAGGTCTTGGACTCCTGGGCTCAAACTATCCTCCCGCCTCTGCCTCCCTAGGAGCTGGGATTATAGGCGTGAGCCACAGCGCCCGGCAATACCAAGGGTTCTTAACAGGGCTGTCGGGGATGTGCAGCAGAGGGTCAGTATAACAACCCTGTGGCTTCATTTTGCCCATTGCCCAGACAGAGTGTATTTATCAAGACGGGAATTGCAATAGAGAGTTTACTTCATGCCGAGCTGGCTGAATGGGAGACCAGAGTTGTATTATTACTCAAATCGGTCTCCCTGAAAATTCAGAGACCGGGTTTTATTAAGGATAATTTGCTGGGTAGGGGGCCAGAGAGTGGAGAGTACTGATTGGACAGGTTGGAGATGCAATCATAGGGGTTGAAGCTGTTCTCTCCTGCTGAGTGGATCTCGGGGTGGGGGCCGCAAGACCAGATGAGCCTGTTTATTAATCTGTGTGTCGCCAGCAGATCCGTTGAGTACAGGACCGGAAAAATATCTTGAGCATCAATCTTAGGTTTTACAGTAGTAATGTTATCCCTAGGAGCAATGGGGGAAGTTTAGAATCCGTGGCCTCTACCTGCAGGACTCCTAAACCACAATTTCTAATCTTGTGGCTAATTTGTTAGTCTTAGAAAGGCAGTCTGGTCCCCAGGCAAGAAGGCGGTTTATTTTGGGAGAGGGTTGTTATCTTTGTTTCAAAGTTAAACTGTAAATTTGCAGCCGTGGGCGGTGGCTCATGCCTGCAATCCCAGCACTTTGGGAGGCCAGGGCGTGTGGATCAGTTGAGGTCAGGAGTTCAAAACCAGCCTGGTCAATCTGTGAAACTCTGTGTCCACTAAAATTTCAAAAAATTAGTCGGGCGTGGTCGCGGGCACCTGTAATCCCTGTTACTTGGAAGGCTGAGGCAGGGGAATCTCTTGAACTCAGGAGGTGGAGGTTGCAGTGAGCTGAGAACACGCCACTAAACCCCAGCCTGGGTAACAAGAGCCAAAACTCCATCTCAAAAACAAACAAACAAACAGGCTGGGCATGGTGGCTCATGCCAGTAATCCCAGCACTTTGGGAGGCCAAGGTGAGTGGATCACTGGAGGTCAGGAGTTCAAGACCAGCATGACCAACATGGAGAAACCCCGTCTCTACTAAAAATACCAAATTAGCCAGGTGTGGTGGTGCATTCCTGTATTCTGAGCTACTAGGGAGGCTGAGGCAGGAGAATTGCTTGAACCCAGGAGGAGGAGGTTGCAGTGAGCTGAGATTGTGCCATTGCACTCTAGCCTGGGCAACAAGAGCAAAAATCTGTCTCAAACAAACAAACAAAAAGTTTGACCTATGCCCAGGAATGAATAAGGACAGAAATTTAAAAATTCACCAGGCATGGTAGTGCCTGCCTTCAGTTCCAGCTACTCAGGAAGCTGAGGTGGGAGGATTGCTTGAGCCCAGGAGGTGAGGCTACAGTGAGCCATGATTGCACCACTGCTCTCCAGCCTGGGCAACAGAGCAAGACCCTGTCTCTATTAAAAAATAATAATAATTTTAAGATTAGGACTAGGTATGGTGGCTCATGCCTGTAATCTCAGCACTTTGGGAGGCTGAGGCAAGAGGATCTATAAAAATTCAAAAAATTAGCTGAGCATGGTAGCACATGCCTGTAGTGCCAGCTGCTCAGGAGGCTGAAGCAGGAGAATCACTTGAGGCCAGAAGGTCCAGGCTGTAGTGAGTTATGATTTTAATTAAATAAATAAATTAGGCTGGGCACAGTGGCTCACTCCTGTAATCCCAACACTTTGGGAGGCCAAGGCAGGTAGATCACCTGAGGTCAGGAGTTTGAGACCAGCCTGGCCAACAGGTGAAACCCTATCTCTACTAAAACTGCAAAAATTAGGCTGGACGTGGTGACTCACCTGTAATCCCAGCACTTTGGGAGGCCGAGGTGGGCAGATCACCTGAGGTCAGGAGTTAGAGACCAGCCTGACCAATGAGATGAAACCCTGTCTCAACTAAAAATACAAAAATTAGCCAGGTGTGGTGGCATGTGCCTGTAATCCCAGCTACTCGGGCGGGAGGCTGGGGCAGGAGAATCGCTTGAACCCAGAAGGCGGAGGTTGCAGTAAGCCAAGATCACCCCATTGCACTCCAGCCTGGGCAATAAGAGCGAAACTCTCTCAAGAAAAATAAAATATAAAAATAAAATACAAAATAAAAATATAAAAATTAGCCAGGTGTGGTGTTGCTCAGCTGTAATTTTATCTACTCTGGAGACTGAGGCAGGAGAATTGCTTGAGGCAGAGGTTGCAGTCAGCCAAGATCGTGCCACTGCACTCCAGCCTGGGTGGCAGAGAGAGACTCTGTCTCAAAAAAAAAAAAATCAAAGTCAGCATGATCTGAGCAGTCTCCGGAAAAACCCAGGTGGGTTGATGTAGACCCAGCAAATGGTGTCATGTGGTGGGAGCAGCTCTTCCCTTAGGAACCCAGGGTGACAGACTGACTGTGGAATGGTGGAAGTGACCACCTCCGCCAACCTGACTTTGGACCTGAGCTTCCAAGGATGAGTGGGAGTCTGCCAGGAGAGAGGGAAGGACCAGGGGAACCTCAGAGGAAGCAATGTGTGCACAGTATGTGAAGGGGCTGCCAGAGGCGGGGCGGGGTGGCTCACACCTGTAATCCCAGTACTTTGGGAGGGTGAGACAGGCAGATCACTTGAGGCCAAGAGTTTGAGACCAGTGTGGTCAACATGGCAAAACCCCGTCTCTACTAAGAATACAAAAAATTAGCCAGGCATGGTGGCACACATTTGTGGTCCCAGCTACTTGAAAGGCTGAGGTATGAGAGCTGCGTGAACCCAGGAGGCAGAGGTTGCAGTGAGTGGAGATTGCGCCATTGCACTCCAGCCGCCTGGGCAACAGCAAGACTCTGTCTCAAAAAAAAAAAAAAAGAAAGAAAAGAAAAGAAAAAAAAAGGTGGGGGCAGTGAGGGCTCTTCTTCCTGGAAGAAAGCACAGTTGAATATAATGAAAGGGTGGAGATTATGTGGTGACAGCCTGTCATTCAGTACAAGGAATAATTTTCTTTTTTTCTTTTTTTTGAGATACGGTCCCACTCTGTCACCCAGGCTGGAATGCACTGGCATGATCTCAGCTCACCGCAACCTCCACCTCCTAGCTCAAGGGATTCTCCTACCTCAGCCTCCTGAGTAGCTGGGATTACAGGCTTGTGTTACCACGCCCAGCTAATTTTTGTATTTTTAGTAGAGACGGGGTTTTGCCATATTGGCCAGGCTGGTCTTGAACTGCTGACCTCAAATGATCCACCAGCCTCAGCCTCCCAAAGTGCTGGGATTATATGCCTGAGCCACCGTGCCCAGCTGGAATAATTTTCTAACCATGGAATGGGCTGCCCTCTCATTGAGTTGTGTCAGCAGAGGCCGAGTAGCAGCACATTGGCCATGTGGTAGAGGGCATTTGGCAGTCAGGCCACAAGAAACCAGACCCATGGACAGGGAGGAGCCGGCCTTGCTGGTTTAGGGTGAGAGGCTCTCACCAAATTCTCGGCATTCCTGGCTGCCTCGCCCTCCCTCTGAGGTGAGGAGAATGGGGGAGAACTGGCCTACAGTCTTCTCCTGTGGGTCTTAGCATTTCCAGGAAGGGGTTTCCATCTCTCTCCATCCAAACAGGGCAGGAGGGTGAAAAAAGACGGTGCTGGGAGCATGCTTCCACCCGACTGGGAGAGATGGGAGACGGGCCTCCCTCCCCATCCCATATGAACGGCAGTGCAGCAGATGACTAGAAGGGCAAACTCAAGGCCCCTATTCCCACCCCAGCTAGGGCGACCACATATCCCAGTTTATCCTGGACTTTCTCAGTTTTGGCACTGAAAGTCCTCCATCCCAGAAAACCCCTCAGTCCTGGAGAAACCAGAAGGTTTGGTCACCCCAATGGGTGACCCCAGTGGGTACATGTTCTCTCCCTAAGACATGTACCCACTCTGTCCCATTATCTTTTCCTTGCTTAACTAAATCTATTTACTCTGCTTGAAAGGGAGCAGGGGGCTGGGCGCGGTAGCTCATGACTGTAATCTCAGCCCTTTAGGAAGCTGAGGTGGGTGGATCACCTGAGGTCAGGAGTTCAAGACCAGCCTGGCCAATATGGTGAAACTCATGTCTACCAAAAATACGAAAATTAGCCAGGCGTGGTGGCGGGTGCCTGTGGTCCCGGCCACTCTGGAGGCTAAGGCAGGAGAATTGCTTGAACCTGGGAGGCGGAGTTGCAGTGAACCGAGATCATGTCACTGCACTCCAGCCTGGGTGACAGACCAAGGAAAGGAAAGAAGGAAGGGAGGAAGGGAGGGAGGGAGGGAGGGAGGGAGGGAGGAGGGAAGGAGGGAAGGAGGGAAGGAAGGGAAGGAAACAAACAAGGATGGGGTCCAAGCTCGGTGGCTCACATCTGCAATCCCAGCACACGAGGAGGCCCAGGTAGGAGGATTTACCTGAGGCCAGGATTTCAAGACCAACCTGGGCTACACAGTGAGATGCCCATCTCTACTAAAAATTAGAAAATGAACTGAGCATGGTAGTGTGTGCCTATAGTCCCAGCTATTCAGGAGGCTGAGGTGGGAGGATAGCTACAGCCCAGGAGGCAGAGGCTGCAGTAAGCCAACATTGTGCTACTGCACCCCAGCTTGGGTGACAGAGCCAAACCGTCTCAAAAAAAAAAAAAAATCCGAGGTCAAGAGATCGAGACCATCCTGGTTAACACGATGAAGCCCTGTCTCTACTAAAAATACAAAAATTAGCTAGGCATGGTGGTGCATGCCTGTAGTCCCAGCTACTCGGAAGCCTGAGGCAGGAGAACTGCTTGAACCCAGGAGGCGGTGGTTGCGGTGAGCCGAGATTGCCCCATTGCACTCCAGCCTGGGAAACTCTGTCTCAAAAAAAAAAAAAAAAAAAAATCCACCAATAAAAAGTGGCTGGGCACCCATAATCCCAGCACTTTGGGAAGCTGAGGCAGGAGGATCACTTGAGTTTAAGACCAGCCTCGGTAACATAGAGAGACCCCATCTCTACAAAAATAATTTTAAAATATTTAAAATAATAGTCCCAGCTACTCGGGAGGCTGAGGACAGAGGATTGCCTAAGCCCAAGAAGGCAAGGCTTCAGTGAGCCATGATTGTGCCACTGTACTCCAGCCTGGGTGACAGAGTGAGAATCTTGTCTCAAAAAAAAAAAATATTGGCCTGGTGTGGTGGCTCATGCCTGTAATCCCAGCACTTTGGGAGGCCGAGGCAGGCAGATCGCCTGAGATCCCACCTCTGCACTCCAGCCTAGGTGACAGAGCAAGACTCCATCTTGAAAAAAAAATTCCACAAATAGGATTTAGACAAATTCCAATTCGTGTGGAATAAATTACCCCAAATCTTAGCAGCTTGAAACAATCAGCATTTAGGATCTCACATAGTTGCTGAGGGTCAGGAATTCTGGAGTGGGTGGTTAGCTGGGGTAGTTCTGGCTCAGGGGGTCTTATAAGGCTGTAATCAAGATACTGGCTTGGGTTATGGTCATCTGAAGACTTGACCAAGGCTGGAGAATCCCCTTCTAAGGTTAGCCCTTCACATACCTGGCAAATTAGTGCTGGTGGCTGGCAGGAGATCTCAGTTCCTTGCCACACGGGCTTCTCCAGAGGGCTGCTTGAGTGTCCTTACCATATGACTTCTGGCTGCCCCCAGAGTGAGTGATCCCAGAAAGACTAAGGTGAAACCTTCAAGAACCTTAGTGATCAGGCCGGGCGTGGTGGCTCACGCCTGTAATCCCAGCACTTTGGGAGGCCGAGGCGGGTGGATCACGAGGTCAAGAGATCGAGACCATCCTGGTCAGCATGGTGAAACCCCGTCTCTACTAAAAATACAAAAAAATCAGCTGGGCATGGTGCCGCGTGCCTGTAATCCCAGCTACTCGGGAGGCTGAGGCAGGAGAATTGCCTGAACCCAGGAGGCGGAGGTTGCGGTGAGCCGAGATCGCGCCATTGCACTCCAGCCTGGGTAACAAGAGCGAAACTCCGTCTCAAAAAAAAAAAAAAAGAACTTTAGTGATCTGGCCTTGGAAGTCACACTGTCGATTTTGTACATCCCATTGGTTGGACATGCAGCCCTCCTCAGCAAGAGTCAGGGTCTTGTTCTGTTGCCCCGGCTGGAGTGCAGTGGCACAATCATAGCTCACTGAAGTCTTCAACTCCTGGGCTCAAGCAGTCCCTTCTGACTCAGCCTCCTAAGTAGCTAGGACTGCAGGCACGTGCCATCCATGCTCAGAATGTAAATATCAACATGTGAGCAGGGCTGCATGTCTAACCAATGGGTATAAATATCAACATGTGAGAGTCATGTGAGCCATCCTGGAGGCTAGCTAGCACAATTAGCTTTTTACTAGGCCCAACTTTATTAGGGTTGGACTCAGTTCTTCTAGCTGTCTTCTACAAGAAAGCCTCCCACTGTCCTCTGTCCTAGGATTTCTCTCTGAAGTTCCTTTCTGCCCACCCCTATGTCTGTGACATTTCTTTCTCCTGAACGTGTCTCCTACCCGCCCCTCCTGCAGAGAGTGGACCCCTCCTCTCCTGCCCTCCTCCCTTCCCAAAGCTGCCCTCACAGAATCTACCTTTATAACTCTTTGCCAAGGTTTGTTGTCCAATCTGCAAAACAAAATGAGAAGAGCCAGAGACAAAGACAGATGGGCAGAGCTGGGCGGAGAGGAACAGGCAGGTTCATAAGTGTAAAATATCGACAAACCTGCCATCATCCATTCCCAGGAACAAATAGATCATCGCCAAATGGGCTATAGACGAGCAAAGAGACAAATTACCCAGCTGTGGCAGTGTCACCTGCTCCTTATTGATGGGCTTTTATGCTCAGACCCAACTGCTCTATGAGAACTGTATTGTTCAGCTCCTATGGGACCCCAAACAGGAGGGAAAGGGAAAAGAAAGCTTTTTTTTTTTTCTTGAGACGAAGTTTCGCTTTTGTTGCCCAACCTGGAGTGCAATGGCGCAATATCAGCTCACTGCAACCTCCAACTCCTGTGTTCAAGCAATTCTCCGACCTCAGCCTCCCGAGTAGTTGGGATTACAGGCGCATGCCACCATGCCTGGCTAATTTTTTGTGATTTTAGTAGAAACGGGGTTTCACCATGTTAGCCAGGCTGGCCTTGAACTCCTGTCCTTAGGTGATCCGCCTGCTTCGGCCTCCCAAAGTGCTGAGATTACAGGAGTGAGCTACCGTGCCCAGCAAGGAAGCTTTTATGTCTCACCTGGGGCAAAAGCCACAGAACCAAGTCCCAGCCTTTCTGGATTATGCATCATATGCAGATATGAATGATATGCCTTTGACACAGTGCCACATAAAAACATTAACAAGCCAGGCACAGTGGCTAATGCGTATAATCTTTGGGAGGCTGAGGCAGGCGGATCATGGGGTCAGGAGTTCGAGACCAGCCTGGCCAACAGGTGAAACCCCCTCTCTACTAAAAATACAAGAATTAGCCAGGTGTGGTGGCTTACACCTGTTATCCCAGCTACTCAGGAGGCTGAGGCAGGAGAATCACTTGAACCTGGGAGGTAGAGGTTGCAGTGAGCCGAGATTGTGCCACTGCACTCCAGACTGGCCAACAGAGGGAGACTCCGTCTCAAAAAAAATTTAACAAAGTGCCACTCTGCATATAGATTATAAATAATACAAATGCTAGGGGAAAAAATTAACTCTTTAAGTATGGAAAAATTTCAAAGCTGGAGTGGATTATAAACTGTGTTTATGCTATTGCCACAAGGTGGCGCCACTTTAGCAAGAAAGCAAATGCCCACATCCTGTCATTACTGAGTAAATGACACGGTTGTTGACGTGCTTGGGACACTAGCAATTGCTTTTTGTGCTGCTATTTGGCCAGGCACTGTTATTATAAACCACTTAAAAAGGCTATAACGACATCATTCAAGCATTCCTGAAGGAGACAGGCTAGTGCTGAAAAGCACGTCCTGAAATCAATACCTTTGGAGTGGATATTGGACATGATGAGACACCATGAAGAAGACTGAAACACCTCCATGACAGGTGGTGCTGTTAATTTAGAAGACTGCCTGCAGGTACAGATAATGCTGCAAAAATACAAAGCAGGATCAAAAGCAAAAATGTGGTGAGATGGTTGTGCAGATTTATGAGCTATGTGAGTGCATTTCAGCTCCTACTCATATTCTTGGAACACAGTTTTGAATCGTGTGAAACTGACAGTAGGCATCCTTCTTGTAAAATATGACATTCGAATTAGGGAGGTTGGCCAGGCGTGGTGCTCACTCCTGTGATCCCAGCACTTTGGGAGTCTGAAGTGGGCAGATCACCTGAGGTCAGGAGTTCGAGACCAGCCCGGACAACATGGTGAAACCCTGTCTCTTAAAAATACAAAAATTACCCGGGCGTGGTGGTACATGCCTGTAATACTAGCTATTCAGGAGGCTGAGGCAGGAGAAGTGCTTGAACCTGGGAGGTGGAGGTTGCAGTGAGCCCAGATTGAGCCACTGCACTCCAGCCTGGGCAACAGAGCGAGACTCCACATGCCTTGGTCTCCCAAAGCACTGTGATTACAGGCGTAAGCCACTGTGCCCGGCCTGTGAATGGCACTTTCAATACCAGCATAATATTCTATCACATCTGTTTTTATTCTTGGTGCTTCCTGACCTCCCTTCTCAGAGTCAAACCCGCATACCTAGCTGGACGTCCTCCCAGGAACATTAAATTTGGCATTTTGGGCCAAATTAGCCAAGTGCCTAGCACCTGGTAAGTCCATAAAAATGAGCTATTACCGATCATGGGTGTCACTTTTTAGTCCCTGCTATCCGATCCACCTCCATTTGCTGCTACTCATTGCGTTCCCAGTGTCACTTATTTTCTGTTAGCAGCCTTGGCCCTGGGTTAATGGCCTGATTTGTTGTCCTTGTGAGGATCCCAGAAAAACCCAACACAGCTCTCCCACCTGCAGGGAAGAACTGAAGCAACAATAATGAAGACATTCCCATGCCAAGCCCATTCTGCCCTAAACAATCAGTTTTGGTGGGGAGAATTTGCTAGCAGAACGCAGGACGTAAAGTTCTCACAGCAGCCTCACTAGGTGTGCCAGCAAACCATTCGAGACCTGGCCAGTGCTTCCTGGCACTGCAGGGGTCTGTGCAGAAAAGATAGATTTATACCATTAATACACCGTTACAGTAACAATGTCTGCTGAGTGATCTAGAACTGTAATTCATATTTCCTGAGGCTGTAGTAGGCAGAATTTGGAAGCAGGGCAGCACAGTGCTAACCAGCAGGCTTTGGGTGGGACAGACCTCGGTTTGAGTCCTAATATTGCTTTTCACTCTCTGTGTTATAGCCAGCGAGTGGCTGCATCGTATCTCTCAGTATCTTCACCTGTGGAGTGGGGGCGGGGGGGGGCAGTGACGCTAACATCAGCTAACATTTACGAAGTGCTTATTGTTCAGTTAAAATACAGTAGACCAGGCACAGTGGTTCACGCCTGTAACCTCGGCACTTTGGGAGGCCACGGCGTGCAGATCACCTGAGGTCAGGAGTTCGAGACCAGCCTGACCAACGTGGTGAAATCTTATCTCTACCAAAAATACAAAAATTAGCTGGGTGCGGTGGCAGGTGCCTGTAATCCCAGCTACTTGGGAGGCTGAGGAAGGAGAATCACTTGAACCCAGGAGGCGGAGGTTGCAGTGAGTTGAGACCACACCATTGCACTCCAGCCAGGTCAACAAGAGTGAAACTGTCTCAAAACAAACAAAAAAACCACAGTAAATTGTCTCTATTTGACTACTAAGAGCTATTTCAAAATAGAATTGTTAGTTATCTAAGTACAGAAAGGTGTAATTCTCCCGTTATAACCCTTGATGACACTAAATAAATAATACATGAATATGGTTCAAAAATGGGCATCATAAGGGCCGGGCGCGGTGGCTCAAGCCTGTAATCCCAGCACTTTGGGAGGCCGAGGCGGGTGGATCACGAGGTCAAGAGATCGAGACCATCCTGGTCAACACGGTGAAACCCCGTCTCTACTAAAAATACAAAAAATTAGCTGGGCATGGTGGTGCGTGCCTGTAATCCCAGCTACTCAGGAGGCTGAGGCAGGAGAATTGCCTGAACCCAGGAGGCGGAGGCTGCGGTGAGCCGAGATCGCACCATTGCACTCCAGCCTGGGTAACAAGAGCGAAACTCCATCCCAAAAAAAAAAAAAAAAAAAAAAAAAAATGGGCATCATAGAGTATAAAATGAAGAATGCTTTCATTTTCCACCTAAATATTGCAATTTCATAGGATGCCAGGCTCTGTTCTAAAGCCTTATGTTTATTCAATGTGCTGAAATTCAGCAACCTCACGAGGTAGGTACAACCATTAACAATAATAATTCCAGGCCGGGCATAGTGGCTCACGCCTGTAATCCCAGCACTCTGGGAAGCCGAGGCGGGCGGAACACCTGAGGTCCAGAGTTCGAGACCAGCCTGACCAACATGGAGAAACCCTGTCTCTACTAAAAACACAAAATTACCCGGGCATGGTGGCGCATGCCATCTAATCCCAGCTACTTGGGAGGCTGAGGCAGGAGAATCGCTTGAACCTGGGAGAAGGTTGCGATGAGCCAATTCCGCGCCACTGCACTCCAGCCTGGACGACAAGAGCGAAACTCCATCTCAAAATAATAATCATCATCATCATTCTAAAGGGAAGCTGAGGGATCTGGCGGAAAAGTGCCAGTAACCTAACAGGCCTCCACAAGTGTCCTTTGAAAGTTTGAGAAGCGTAGAGATCGGTATATGTTGATTAACTGCCAAACATGAATGCGGGTGTCCGAAACGCGATCCCCTGGGGCGCCACAATCGATGCCTACTTGAACCGACAGAGAGTCCCTCCCTGGGCCAAGGAAGGACCTAATTCCCGGGCCCCGGATCCAGCCTCTACGTGGTTTCCCAGGAAAGCCGCGCGGAGGTCGGCTGCTTCAACCAGTCTTGCTAGAGTAGGCACAAAAGCGTTCCGAGTGACTGCCACTGTAGCCACTCAACGCCTAGCCCAGGCCTGCTTTTGCCGTTAGACTGAAACTTTCCATTGGTGGAGTCACCCCAAGGCGGGACGGAGCGGGAAAATCCTGCCTACCTTGGCCTTCTCAGCCAATCGCAGCGTCCAGTTTGGTTGCGCTGCGCGTAGTGATCTGGGCTACCTGAGGGCGGGGCCGGGAGCAGGCCCCGGGCGGTGGGGAGGGTACGCTTCCCGCGGGCGCGCGGAGTGACGACGGTGACAGCCACGCGCGCGCGTACGCGCCCGTCTGCCGCGCGGCCCCGCAACCCCAGTCGGCCACTGAGAGGCGCGCGGAGTCTGGGCCGCTGCGGTCTAGGGTTCCAGTCCCGAGGCATTCCCGGCATCTTTGGCCCCAATCCCGGAGTGCCAGGTCGCGCCTGCACGGACGATCTCGGTTCCCTTGCCCTCCCTGCCGCCGTCAGGGACCGCCCCTCAACTCCCCTTTCCGCCCGGGCAGGGTCCTCGCGGCCCATGCTGGCCGCTGGGGACCCACGCATCCCAGACCGTTCCCGGGCCGGCCAGCCGGCCACCATGGTGGCCCTGAGGCCTGTGCAGCAACTCCAGGGGGGCTAAAAGGTTCAGAGTGCAGGCCTTGGGGCGCGAGGGTCCCGGGCTTGAGCCCCGCGCTATGGCCGGGGCCATCGCTTCCCGCATGAGCTTCAGCTCTCTCAAGAGGAAGCAACCCAAGACGTTCACCGTGCGGATCGTCACCATGGACGCCGAGATGGAGTTCAATTGCGAGGTAACCGGCCGGCAGTCCCGACTGCCGCGGTGACAGTCGAGGTGGAAGCTCGAGAGGTTCTGTTTATATCATCTTATGGGTGTAGCTGGAGACGGGCAGAACCGGAAGGGGCCAACTAGGCCCAAAACCTCGTGTTAAAGATGATTGCTGCTTTTTTTCATGGGGCTTTGGGTTTTAGCATTTCCTGAAGGTTATTTTCATTCATTGTTATTGGAAGAAGCTGGATGCTTCTGTGTTAGCAAATTCAGTGTGAGGTTTAAGTTAGGCTTACGGTTAAACGCTTGAAAGTTTATTACTTTATTATGTAATATTGTTATGTTCCCAGGTATTAAAAGTTGCCTCTTGTTTATTGGAAAGCCTATACTTGTTTCCCTTTTCCAAAGCTTACATATTCTGGAAAAAAAAACCCTTTGAGGAACAAGATAATGTAATTACTTTCCACATAGTTTCCAACATGATGATAACAGCTATTAATTGTTCAGTATTTTCAAAGTGCCAGACATTTGCACATTTAATCCTCAGATCAACACATTTATCCAGTAAATGGCAAGGTGGGGTTTTGAACCAAGCTCACAGCCAGTACAGTACTGCTTCTCAAGTAATTTAAGTTCTTGCTACTAAAAGTGTGGTTTGTGGACCAACAGCACTGGCAGCAGTAAGCAAGGGTTGGCATGTTTTTTCTGTACAGGACCACATAGTAAATATTTTCAACTTTGTAGGCTAGAGAATCTCTGTTGGAGCTATTCAACTCTTCAACTCTACAATTGTTACACAAAAGCAGCCTTAGATAAGATCAGCTTCTTAGCGTAACAGTTTAAGGAACCCATTCCTCTGTGAAACTTGTGAAAAATCTTTTTTATTTTGTTTTGAGACAGAGTCTCACTGTCACCCAGGCTGGCGTGCAGTAGTGTCATCACAGCTCACTGCAACCTCAGCCGATCTCCCTGGCTCAATCAGTCCTCATGCCTCAGCCTCTTGTGCCACCACACCTGGTTAATTTTTTTTTTTGAGAGGGAGTCTTGCTCTGTCACCCAGTCTGGAGTGCAATGGCGCGATCTCAACCTCCACCTTCCAGGTTCAAGTGATTCTCCTGCCTCAGCCTCCCAAGTAGCTGGGATTACAGGTGTGTGCCACCATGCTGGGCTAATTTTTGTATTTTTAGTAGAGATGGGGTTTCGCTATGTTGGCCAAGCTGGTCTCGAACTCCTGACCTCGTGATCTGCCCAACAGGGCCTCCTAAAGTGATGGGATTATGGGCATGAGCCAACGCACCCAGCCTCATCTAGCTAATTTTTGTGTTTTTTTGTAGAGACAGGGTTTTGCCATGTTGCACAGGCTGATCTTGAACTCCTGCTCACCTTGGCCTCCCAAAGTGGTGGGATTACAGACGGGAGCCACCAGGCCTGACCCAAAAATTCTTTTTTAAAATCAACGATTTAAACCCTCTGGCAATGGTCCTGAGGGCAAACAACAAATGCAGAAATACCTATTTAAGAAAATCTGGCTGGGCGTGGTGGCTCACGCCTGT